AATCCAGTCTGGTTAAAACCCAGGATGGATCGTAGGCAGGTCAGCCTAAATGTTTCTAACCGGCGAAGATGTTCCATTAGGGGGGTCCACGTTTCGCAAGCGTAGAGAAGGGAGGGAATGACCGTGGCCGAGAAGACCTGAAGCTTAGTGCGGAGCGACAGACCAGGTAGCTTCCACACAGCGTTACGCAAACGATGAAAAGATATTGCCGCTCGACTGATTCGGAGTGAGACCTCTGCTGTTAAACTGGAGCCAGTCATAAGCACACTGCCCAGGTATGGGAAACTCTCCACTCTCTCCACAACTGCCCCATCACCGATTGGGAGTTGTGGGGGTGGAGTGTCCGATGGTACAAAATACCCAGGCAGGTGCTTAGTTTTGGTGGGGCTGATGGTAAGGCCCCACCTCTTAGTGGCACGCTCCAGTCTCAGCAGCAGCGTCTGCAACTCCTCCTCTGACTGAGCAGCTATTACCAAGTCATCAGCATACATAACGTGGTTGAGCAATAGGGAGCCATCCCTTGACCGCACCCGGGCATCGATTAGCCTCCCATTATATCTGTACCATATGGAGATTCCCCCGGTACAGCTATTGAAGGCTTCACGAACTACGTGGTCAAAATAGATGTTAAATAATGTGGGAGCCAGAGGACATCCCTGTCGCACCCCAAGGTGTACAGGGAATGGCTCTGACTCCCGGCCACGTAGTTTTACCCGGGCCCGCTCACCATCATGAAGGTCCTTAATGATCGTGAGCAGAGGGTCAGGTACTCCAAAAGCACGAAGAACGACCCAGAGCCCAGGCCTACTGATGGTATCATAGGCCTTGACCAGGTCAATAAAGCAGAGATGTAGGTCTTGTTGGAATTCCCTACACCTCTGCTGTAGCAGACGGACAGAAAATATGGCATCTGTGCAGGACCGCCCTTTCCTGAAACCGCATTGGGGCTCCGCAAGCCTCTCCTCAGCGTGCCTGGCAAGGCGATGCTGAATAATCCTTGCCAGGACCTTTCCCGGCACACTGAGGAGTGAGATGCCCCTGTAGTTGTTACAGTCTGTGCGGTCCCCCTTCTTAAAAAGGGGGACCACCAGGGCATCCTTCCAATCCTGCGGAACCCGTCCAGTGGTCCAGACTGTTGTTATGATGTCATATAGGGCAGTCTGTGCACAAACGCCACCCTCCCTCAGCATTTCGCTTGGGAGATCATCTCTGCCCGCTGCCTTTCCTGGTCTCAGACTCCGGATCGCCTTCAATACTTCCTCAGCAGATGGCACCTCAGCCATCCACTCACAGGGGGTGACTTCATCCAATATTTGAGGCACCGCAGCCTCAGCAGGGTCATCCTCACTTTGTGCCACGATGTTTTCCTGGCTGTGGGATTTTCCCTCCCCCAGGACCTCACAGAAATGCTCAGCAAATCTGCGAACCTGTTCCTGGGGGTCGGAAATTGGATCACCGTTTTTTCCCCTAATGATGGTAATAGGTGTGGCGCTGCAGGTTACTTTTTTGATGGAGTTAAATAGCGATTTGTGATCACGGGCCACTGAGGCAGACTCCATCTCCTCAGCAACCCGCGACCACCACCCATCCTTGCAGCGCCTCACGGCTCTCCGAACCTCCGAGCGAAGGCTGCGGTAAGCCTCCTCATTCTCTGACGTGGGATTCTGTAGCCGATGACAGTGGGCCTGTCGCTTTTTCTCAACCATCCTGAACAACTCCTCTGTCATCCAGGGTGTCTGGGGAGGTCTGGACCGCGTACCCAAAGCAGCCATTGCAGCTGCATGAGTCACAGTCCTAAACCTCGCCCATTTACCCTCGACATCAGGAGGAGTCGGGGACGATGCCAATCCCAGCCGCAAGCGATGATGAAATTCTCGCTTGCAACTTTCATCAGATAACTGAGACCAGGCCACTTTAGGTTGGAATGGGGTCCTGGGTGTACACCCACCACCGGAGTGGAAGAATGGCAGGCGCATCTTACAGATGACTAGTCGATGGTCAGAGGGCAGATCAGCTCCACGGTAGGTCCTGGTGTCAAGGACATGGGCTCGCATTCGCTGGTCCGTCACTATGTAGTCCAGCAGATGTTCTTGCTTGGACCCGGCATGCATCCATGATGTTGTGTGGATGCGCCGATGCCGGAACAGCGTGTTGGTAATTACAAGCCCATGGGCTGCACAAAAATCTAGCAGCCTCCTACCATTGTTATTGAGCTGATCTGGCCCATGCCCTCCAATCACTCCAGACCAGGTGCCAGTATCATGACCAACTCGGGCATTGAAGTCACCCAACATGATGACTCTATCCCGAGGGGCCACTTTAGCCAGCACCTGTGACAGGAGATCATAGAAGGCATCTGACTCATCGGCTTTGCCTGCATCCCTCCACGGATGTTCATCTTCGGTGGGGGCATAAGTAACCACGACCACCATTCCTCGCCTCCGGTTGATGGGAAGGCGAGCCCAAAGTAGCCTGGGGCTTACAGCTTCCCACACCTCACCGCCACGCTCCCACGCCCCCTTCATTCTTTTGTTCAAAAGAAGACCACACCCTGTTGTTTGGCAGTCTGCTGCCCCGAGTAGAGGACTGTCCACCCCTCATGGTGGCAGGAGCCAGAGCCGGTCCACCGGACCTCCTGAATGCCGCATAGATCCAGGCGGTACCGGTCCAGCTCCCGACAGAGGAGTGGCAGCCTCTCCTCTGCAGTGAGCGTTCGAACATTCCACGTGGCCACCCGTAGTGGCTTTTCGTTGTTTCTGGAGGTGACAGGTACACACACAGGCACACACACTGGTACACACACAAGTACACAGACACACAGGTACACACATACAGGTACACACACTGGTACACACACAGGTACCCACACACACAGGTACACACACAGGCACACACACTGGTACACACAAACACACAACAACAACAACCGCCATTCGCCACTAAGTGGCGGTGACGTCACCACGACGCTTGTGCAATGCATTCTTTGGGTCTTTCGCTAATGTCACGTAGATAGGTTCAAAGAAAATACCAAAAAACTACGATCACAACACAAGCAAGCGGTCGTCATCAGGGCAAAAGGGGTGTGTGCTTGTTCAAGGATTGTTTCTGGAGGAGCCCCGAGGGTAACGATTCAGTCTCCTGGCTCTGCTAAATGGGGTTTGGCCAGGAGACGTCATAGACGTCTGTCCCCCTGGGGCCTCCGGCACACACACACACAGTTACACACACAGGTACACACACAACCACACACACAGTTACACACACACACACACAGTTACACACACACAGGTACACACACACACACAGCCACACACACACAGGCACACACACACACATAGTTACACACACATAGCCACACACACACACAGGCACACACACACAGCCACACACACACACACACAGCCACACACACAGGTACACACACACACAAAGCCACACACACACAGGCACACACACACACACACAGCCACACACACACAGGTACACACACAACCACACACACAGTTACACACACACACAGTTACACACACACAGGTACACACACAGCCACACACAACAACAACAACAACCGCCATTCGCCACTAAGTGGCGGTGACGTCACCACGACGCTTGTGCCAGGCTATGTGCACCCTGAGTCACACACACACAGGCACACACACACATAGTTACACACACATAGCCACACACACACACAGGCACACACACACACAGTTACACAGACACAGGCAAACACACACACACAACCACACACACAGGCACACATACACACAGGCACACACACACAGGTACACACACACAGTTACACACACACAGTTACACACACACAGGCACACACACACAAAGGTACACACACACAGTTACACACACACACAGTTACACACACACAGGCACACACACACAGTTACACACTCACACAGTTACACACACACAGGCACACACACACAGTTACACAGGTACACACACACAGATAGGTACACACAGGTACACACACATGTACAGACACAGATAGGCACACACACAGGAAAAGACAAAGACAAAGATTCCCCATATAGCCTTAACAGACTGTAGGGGCAAGTGCTGTTAGCGAGCACCTATGAAGGCCGGAACGGTACACGAGGGGGTGGGTGGCCAGCACCACGCCCGGCCGCCTTTGTCTCCCCAGTGGCAATGTTTACACACGGCACCAGGTACTCATTTGAGGCTGAGTCTACCTATGGGAGGCCCACGACCGATTCAGCTGATCGTCACTTGGTGTTGGCCGTGAGCGGGAATCGAACTCGGGTCGCCGGGTTCATACAAACAGCGTAGTGTGTGTGTTTACACAGGTAAACACACACACAGGTGTACACACACAGGCATACACACACAGCTACACACACAGGTACACACACACACAGGTGTACACACACAGGTACACACACACACACACAGGTGTACACACACAGGTACACACACACAGGTGTACACACACAGGTACACACACACAGGTGCACACACACAGGTACACACACACACACACACAGGTACACACACACACACAGGTACACACACCGAGGTACACACAGGTACACACACACAGGTACACACACACAGGTACACACACAGGTACACACACGTACACACACGGATACACACAGGTACACACACAGCTACACACAGGTACACACACACACACAGGTACACACACACAGGCACATTCACAAAGTTACACACACAGGTACACACAAAGGTGTACACACACAGGTACACACACAGGTACACACACACACAGGTGTACACACACACACAGGTACACACACACAGGTACACACACACAGGTACACACACAGGTACACACACAGGTACACACACACACAGGTGTACACACGACCCCGCTGAGATCGGATTGCTTACAGCTGAATGTCAGAATGTGGCTGAGTCACCGCTAGCTGAGAATGTCTCAGCAGCAGCTGTAGCAGCAGCGTCACGACACTGCTGCTACAGCTGCTACTGCTGCTGCTGGCTGGGTGAGCTGCATGCCGCTGCAGGGAGTGGATTTCTGATGAACGCCGTCACGGAGCGCACGAGGAAATCCGTGACGCGGTCACGTCTGGGTACAAAAGCAGCGAGCCGATGGCCCTGGGAGAGACAGAGCGGAGATCGTGAAGAGAGAGAGAGAGGTGAGACTCTGGGAGAGGGGGGGGGGGTGTGTGAGAGAGAGAGAGAGGGGGGAGAGAGAGGGGCGAGGGATATAGCCCCTAACACCACAGTGGCTATGGAGATGTTAACTACCTCGCCTGGTCTACGGGAGGTCGTGGGATCGATCCCGACCCTAACGCCACAGTGGCTATGGAGATGTTAACTACCTCGCCTGGTCTACGGGAGATCGTGGGATCGATCCCAACCCTAATGCCACGGTAGCTAGAAGATGTTAACTACCTTTCCGGGTTTACGGGAGGTTGTGGGTTCGATCCCAACCCCCTAACGCAACGGTGGCTAGAGATGTTAACTACCTCGCCTGGCACGCAGGAGGTCGTGGGTTCGATCCCAACTCCAACGCCACAGTGGCTAGGATATGTTAACTACCTCGCCTAGTCTACGGGAGGTCGTGGGTTTCATCCCAACCCTAATTCCAAGGTGGCTAGGAGATGTTGACTGCCTCTCCTGGTCAAAGGGAGTTTGTGGGTTCGATCCCGATTCTGACGATGCCTGCTGCTGCTGCTGTATATTTGGAGTCTTAGTCTCTCTTTCTCTGTGTTAGCCACTGCGTGGCTTTTCCTGTCCGAGTAACATAAACATAGATTAGTTTTAGTCTTTGGGTGTCTATGGGTCTCTGTGGTTCCATACGAGTATCTGGATGTCTATGGGTCTTTATGAGTATGGGTCTCAGTGGGTCTATATGAGCATGTGTCTCTATGCGTATCTATGAGTCTCTCTATGTGTATGTTTATATCTCTATAAGTTTCTATGAGCATGTGTCTCTGTGCGTATCTATGGGTCTCTCTATGTGTATGTTTATATCTCTATACGTTTCTATGAGCATGTGTCTCTATGGGTCTCTATGGGTCTCTCTATGTGTATGTTTATACCTCTATAAGTTTCTATGAGCATGTGTCTCTATGCGTATCTATATGTGTATGTTTATACCTCTATAGGTTTCTATGAGTATGTGTCTCTATGGGTCTCTATGGGTCTCTCTATGTGTATGTTTATACCTCTATAAGTTTCTATGAGCATGTGTCTCTATGTGTCTCTATGGGTCACTCTATGTGTTTGTTAATACCTCTATAGGTTTCTTTGAGCATGTGTCTCTATGCGTATCTATGGGTCTCTCTATGTGTATGTTTATATCTCTATAAGTTTCTATGAGCATGTGTCTCTATGCGTATCTATGCGTATCTATGGGTCGCTATGGGTCTCTCTATGTGTATGTTTATACCTCTATAAGTTTCTATGAGTATGTGTCTCTATGCGTATCTATGGGTCTCTCTTTGTGAACGTTTGTACCTCTATGGGTCTCTGTGTCTACACGTTCAGAGTATGTGGCCGCTGATATCAACATCCACACTTATGATGATGATATCATCCACTTTGGTTGAGCGTCTATCATTCCGTGCGATAGCCAGGTCGCTTGTCTGATAGACGAAGCTACATCGCTCAGTGTGGACCTTACACCTGGCCAAATTAAAAAAAAAGTAGCTTAGCTTAGTTAACAAAAAAATTGTTGATTTTCTCCGATTTCGGAAGACGGAACCCCACAATGAGTCTACAAGGTGGGTGGGGTGGGTGGGGTGGTTGGTCACGTGCCGCTTCTTCCACGAGACATCCTCCCATTCCGTCTATGGGGGAAATGTTAAGAGATAGGGAACCGGTTCCCATAGAAAGTCTATGGGGCCATGTTAAGAGATAGGGAACCGGTTCCCAAAGAAAGTCTATGAGGCCATGTTAAGAGATAGGGAACCGGTTCCCATAGAAAGTCTATGAGGCCATGTTAAGAGATAGGGAACCGGTTCCCATAGAAAGTCTATGGAGCAATGTTAAGAGATAGGGAACCGGTTCCCATAGAAAGTCTATGGGCAATGTTAAGAGATAGGGAACCGGTTCCCATGGAAAGTCTATGGGGACATGTTAAGAGATAGGGAACCGGTTCCCATAGAAAGTCTATGGGGCAATGTTAAGAGATCGGGAACCGGTTCCCATAGAAAGTCTATGGGGCCATGTTAAGAGATAGGGAACCGGTTCCCATAGAAAGTCTATGGGGCCATGTTAAGAGATAGGGAACCGGTTCCCATAGAAAGTCTATGGTTCCATGTTAAAAGATAGGGAACCGGTTCCCATAGAAAGTCTATGGGGCCATATTAAAAGATAGGGAACCGGTTCCCATAGAAAGTCTATGGGGCCATGTTAAGAGATAGGGAACCGGTTCCCATAGAAAGTCTATGGGGCCATGTTAATAGATAGGGAACCTTTTGATTTAAAGCTTTCGTGACTGCAGGGATTCATATCCTTGGCTCTTTCGGTAAAGTCACCACGTAGAAGGGAAACAATAAAATAATACAAATATAAAACAATCAAATTCTCACGACGTTTCGACTGCAACACAAGCAATCATCATTCGTCATCAGGTGTGAAAACCACAACAAGAAAATTTGAAAAACGTGGCAGTTATTTTTAACAAGAAATTTTGAAAAAAGTGCCAATTTTAACTGCCACTTTTTAGCGTTAAAATAACGTTTTCAAAATTTCCTGTTGTGGTTTTCACACCTGATGATGATTGCTTGTGTTGCAGTCGAAACGTCGTGAGAATTTTATTGTTTTATATTTGTATTATTTTAATTGTTTCCCCTCTACGTGGTGACTTTACCGAAATAACCAAGAATATAGATAGGGAACCGTTTCCCATAGAAAGTCTATGGGGCAAGTTTCAGTGATCCGAGTTCGATTCCCACTCACGGCAACCAACAGCAATGATGGCGATTATCTGAACCGGTGCTGGGCCTCCCCTAGGTTAGCTCGGCCTCAAAATGAGTACCTGGTGCCGTGGTTTATAGTAAACATCGCCACTGCGGAGACAAAGGCGGCCGAAAGTGGTTCTGGCCACCCAACCCTCTCTGTGCCACAGTGCTGGTAGCCTTCATAGGCACTGCTGTTGCTACTCGCTACTATTAACATCACTAGCCCCTGGAGTCTATTTGAGGCTATACGGGTGTGTGGTGAGTGAGTGGTGAATGAGCAGGTCTGTGGTAAATGTGTGTCTGTCAGTCTGTGTGCGGTGAATGTGTGTGTGTGAGTGGCAAGTGTGTCATTGTGCGTAGATGTTTGTGTGTCTCTTGCTGTTCCGGCATTGGCGCATCGACGCCGGGTCCAAGCAAGAACATCTGTTGGACTGTATAGTGACGGAACAGCGGATGTGGGGCCAAGTCCTTGACAACAGGATCTACCGTGGAACTGATTTTCCCACTGATCATCGGCTTGTCATCTGTAAGGCGTGCCTGCCATTCTTCCACTCCGGTGGTGGGTGTACATCTAGGACCCCATTCAAACCCACAGTGGCCTGGTCTCAGCTAGCTGATGAAAGTTGCAAGCGAGAATTTCATCATCGCTTGCGGCTGGGGTTGGCATTGTCCCCCACTCCTCCTCGTGCCGAGGGGAAATGAGCGAGGTTTAGGACTGTGACTCATGCTGCTGCAATGGCTGCGTTGGGTACACGGTACAAACCTCCTAGACCTTGGCTGATGGAGGTCTCCCTCTTTAAGAAAGGGGACCGTACAGACTGTAACAACTGCAGGGGCATCTCCCTCCTCGGTGTGAGGAGAAAGGTCCTGGCAAGGATTATTCAACATCGCATTACCAGGCACACTGAGGAGAGGCTTGTGGAGCCCCAATGCGGTTTCAGGCCAGGGCGGTCCTGCACAGATGCCATATTTTCCTTCCTTCTGCTATAGTATAGGAGTAAGCAGAGGTGCTTTATGGATCTGGCCAAGGCCTATGATACCATGAGTAGTCCTGGGCTCTGGGTTGTTCTGTCAAGATCGGCCTTTTGTGGAGGAGTTCAAATTCTCTGGGTGTATTTGAAGTCACGTAGATAGATGAAAAAAAAAAACAACAAAAAACCACGACGTTTCGATCGCGACACAAGCGTTCATCATCAGGAAGAGAGGGTTAGCTTCTCAAGATAAAATGTTTCTAATGGTTTGAAATGGGCGTAGCCCAAATGTCGGCAGCCAATGAGAATGTGAGTGGTGGGCGGCGACCGTGACGCTGGTGGGTTTTCCCACCAATCAAAGGGCTGCCCAGTTAAAAATTAGCATCATGACGTGAGATCGCTGAGAGGCCTCAAGGGCGGTGCCCTGAGGTGGCGATGTTAACGTGAGAGATTAGCATATTAATGTGAGAGATTAGCATGTTAATGGGAGAGACTAGCATATTAATGTGAGAGATTACCATGTGAATGTGAGAGATTGACATTTGGGCTATGCCCATTTCAAACCTTTATAGTTTACCTTGAGAGGCTAACCCTCTCTTCCTGACGACGAACGCTTGTGTTGCGATCGAAACGTCGTGGGTTTTGTGTTCGTTATTTTTCGTTATTTTCCTTGAATCTATCAACGTGACTTTACCGAAAGACCCAAAGAATGTGAATTCCTGCAGTCACGAAAGCTTTAAGTCAATATTTGTGGAGGAGGTTTGTGAATGACGCTACGGGCAGTTGGAGGCAGTCGCCCGCCCTCCACCGACAACTGAGGGAAGAGAAGCAACGCTCACAACAATGAGCGGAGTGCCAGGTAGCTAAAATGGAGGAAGTTGCCAAAGTAGGGGGTACAGCTGGTGCGTCTACTAGTCATACTAGCCAACTCATGGCACCTGGGTCTGTCCCGAGACGCCCTCTCAGTAAGACTTTGACACTTCACGTGGCTTCAAAGTGCACCCAGCCTGGCACAGGCGCCGTGGTGACGTCACCGTCACTTAGCGGCGAATGGCGGGTATTGGTATTGGTTGGTGGTGAATGTTGGTGGGCGGTGAGTGTGTCTTTGTCTCTGTGTGGTGAGTTTGTGTGTGTCACTTAGTAGCGAATGGTGGGTATTGGTGAGTGGTGAATGTTGGTTGGCGGTGAGTGTGTCTTTGTCTGTGTGTGTGGTGAGTTTGTGTGTGTCACTTAGTAGCGAATGGTGGGTATTGGTTAGTGGTGAATGTTGGTTGGCGGTGAGTGTGTCTTTGTCTGTGTGTGTGGTGAGTTTGTGTGTGTCACTTAGTGGCGAATGGCGGGTATTGGTTAGTGGTGAATGTTGGTTGGCGGTGAGTGTGTCTTTGTCTGTGTGTGGTGAGTTTGTGTGTGTCACTTAGTGGCGAATGGTGGGTATTAGTATTGGTGAGTGGTGAATGTTGGTTGGCGGTGAGTGTGTCTTTGTGTGTGTGTGGTGAGTTTGTGTGTGTCACTTAGCGGCGAATGACGATTATTGTTATTGGTGAGTGGTGAATGTTGGTGGGCGGTGAGTGTGTCTTTGTGTGTGTGTGGTGAGTTTGTGTGTGTCACTTAGTGGCGAATGGCGGGTATTGGTATTGGTGAGTGGTAAATGCTGGTGGGCGGTCTGTCTTTGTCTGTGTGTGATGAGTTTGTGTGTGTCACTTAGTGGCGAATGTCGGGTATTGGTGAGTGGTGAGTGGTGAATGCTGGTGGGAGGTGTCTTTGTCTGTGTGTGGTGAGTTTGTGTGTGTCACTTAGCGGCGAATGGCGGGTATTGGTATTGGTGAGTGGTGAATGTTGGTGGGCGGTGAGTGTGTCTTTGTCTGTGTGTGTGGTGAGTTTGTGTGTGTCACTTAGCGGCGAATGGCGGGTATTGGTGAGTGGTGAATGTTGGTGGGTGGTGAGTGTGTCTTTGTCTGTGTGTGTGGTGAGTTTGTGTGTGTCACTTAGTAGCGAATGGTGGGTACTGGTTAGTGGTGAATGTTGGTTGGCGGTGAGTGTGTCATTGTCTGTGTGTGTGGTGAGTTTGTGTGTGTCACTTAGTGGCGAATGGCGGGTATTGGTTAGTGGTGAATGTTGGTTGGCGGTGAGTGTGTCTTTGTCTGTGTGTGTGGTGAGTTTGTGTGTGTCACTTAGTGGCGAATGGTGGGTATTAGTATTGGTGAGTGGTGAATGTTGGTGGGCGGTGAGTGTGTCTTTGTCTGTGTGTGGTGAGTTTGTGTGTGTCACTTAGTGGCGAATGGTGGGTATTGGTATTGGTGAGTGGTAAATGTTGGTGGGCGGTGAGTGTGTCTTTGTCTCTGTGTGGTGAGTTTGTGTGTGTCACTTAGTGGCGAATGGTGGGTATTGGAGAGTGGTGAATGTAGTGGGCGGTGAGTGTGTCTTTGTCTGTGTGTGTGGTGAGTTTGTGTGTGTCACTTAGTGGCGAATGGTGGGTATTGGTGAGTGGTGAATGTTGGTGAGCGGTGAGTGTGGCTTCGTCTGTGTGTGTGGTGAGTTTGTGTGTGTCACTTAGTGGCGGATGGTGGGTATTGGTGAGTGGTGAATGTTGGTGAGCGGTGAGTGTGTCTTTGTCTGTGTGTGTGGTGAGTTTGTGTGTGTCACTTAGTAGTGAATGGTGGGTACTGGTTAGTGGTGAATGTTGGTTGGCGGTGAGTGTGTCATTGTCTGTGTGTGTGGTGAGTTTGTGTGTGTCACTTAGTAGCGAATGGTGGGTACTGGTTAGTGGTGAATGTTGGTTGGCGGTGAGTGTGTCTTTGTCTGTGTGTGTGATGAGTTTGTGTGTGTCACTTAGTGGCGAATGGCAGGTACTGGTTAGTGGTGAATGTTGGTTGGCGGTGAGTGTGTCATTGTCTGTGTGTGTGGTGAGTTTGTGTGTGTCACTTAGTAGCGAATGGTGGGTACTGGTTAGTGGTGAATGTTGGTTGGCGGTGAGTGTGTCATTGTCTGTGTGTGTGGTGAGTTTGTGTGTGTCACTTAGTAGCGAATGGTGGGTACTGGTTAGTGGTGAATGTTGGTTGGCGGTGAGTGTGTCATTGTCTGTGTGTGTGGTGAGTTTGTGTGTGTCACTTAGTAGCGAATGGTGGGTACTGGTTAGTGGTGAATGTTGGTTGGCGGTGAGTGTGTCTTTGTCTGTGTGTGTGATGAGTTTGTGTGTGTCACTTAGTGGCGAATGGCGGGTATTGGTATTGGTGAATGAGTCAGTGAGCACTCGCCCCGACAGTCTGTTAAGAGGCTTAACGGCGGAATCTTTGTCTTTGTGTGGTGCCATGCAGGTTGCAGCTGCCATCGTTCTCATTGGTTCCCACAAGCACCGCATCAGCTATGACGTCACAAAGGACAGCCGTCCTCTTCATCGCCGCCATCTTGAGCGTCTCGTTCACGCCCGCAATGGCGAAAGGCGAGTACAGCACGCGTGTGTGTTCAGGTGTGTGCGTGTGTGTACACGTGTATGTGTGTACACGTGCGTGTTCAGGTGTGTGCGTACACGTGTATGTGTGTACACGTGTGTGTTCAGGTGTGTGTACATGTGTGTGTACACGTGTGTGAGTGTAGTGTCTTGTCGTGTATAGTGGAGTGTATAGAAGTGTAGTTTGTATTAGTGTATAGTGTAGTGTATAGTGTAGTGTCTAGTGTAGTGTATTGTGGCGTCTATTGTGGAGTGTATTGTAGTGTAGTATTGAATAGTAGAGTGTATAGTAGTGTAGTGCCTTATAGTGTATAGTGGAGTGTATAGAAGTGTAGTTTGTATTAGTGTATAATGTAGTGTCTAGTGTAGTGTATTGTGTAGTGTATAGTGTAGTATCTAGTGTAGTGTATTGTGTAGTACATAGTGTAGTGTATAGTGTAGTGTATTGTGTAGTGTATAGTGTAGTATATTGTGTAGTGTATATTGTAGTGTATTGTGTAGTGTCTAGTGTAGTGTATTGTATAGTCGTGTATAGTGTAGTGTATTGTGTAGTGTATAGTGTAGTGTATAGTGTAGTGTGTAGTGTATTGTATAGTGCAGTGTATAGTAGTGTATAGTATAGTGTATAGCGTAGTGTATTGTGAGTGTATCGTGTAGTGTATAGTAGTGTAGTGTATAGTGTAGTGTATAGTCGTGTATAGTGTAGTGTATAGTGTAGTGTATTGTGTAGTGTATAGTGTAGTAGTGTAGTGTATAGTGTAGTGTATAGTCGTGTATAGTGTTGTGTATAGGGTAGTGTATTGTGTAGTGTATAGTGTAATGCATAGTGTAGTATACAGTAGTGTATGGTAGTGTAGTGTATAGTGCAGTGTATAGTGTAGTGTATAGTAGTGTAGTGTATAGTAGTGTAGTGTATAGTGTAGTGTATAGTAGTGTAGTGTGTAATAGTGTATCGTGTAATGTACAGTATAGTGATATGTACAGTAGTGTAGTGTGTAGTCGTCTATAGTGGAGTGTATAGTAGTGTACTGTATAGTAGTGAATTGTGCAGTGTATAGTGTAGTGTGTAGTATTCTATAGTGTAGTGTATATTAGTGTAGTGTATAGTAGTGTAGTGTGTAGTAGTCTATAGTGGAGTGTATAGTAGTGTAGTGTGTAGTAGTCTATAATGTAGTGTATAGTAGTGTAGTGTATAGTAGTGTAGTGTGCAGTAGTGTAATGTATAGTAGTGTAGTGTGTAGTAGTGTAGTGTATAGTAGTGTAGTGTATAGTAGTGTAGTGTGTAGTAGTGTAGTGTGTAGTAGTCTATAGTGGAGTGTTTAGTAGTGTAGTGTATAGTAGTGTAGTGTGTAGTAGTCTATAGTGGAGTGTATAGTAGTGTAGTGTGTAGTAGTGTAGTGTATAGTAGTGTAGTGTATAGTAGTGTAGTGTGTAGTAGTCTATAGTGGAGTGTATAGTAGAGTAGTGTATAGTAGTGTAGTGTATAGTAGTGTAGTGTATAGTAGTGTAGTGTGTAGTAGTGTAGTGTGTGGTAGTCTATAGTGTAGTGTATAGTAGTGTAGTGTATAGAGTGTAGTGTGTAGTAGTCTATAGTGTAGTAGTGTAGTGTGTAGTAGTGTAGTAGTCTATAGTGTAGTGTATAGTAGTGTAGTGTATAGAGTGTAGTGTGTAGTAGTCTATAGTGTAGTAGTGTAGTGTATAGTAGTGTAGTGTATAGTAGTGTAGTGTATAGTAGTGTAGTGTGTAGTAGTATAGTGTATAGTAGTGTAGTGTGTAGTAGTCTATAGTGGAGTGTATAGTAGTGTAGTGTGTAGTAGTCTATAGTGGAGTGTATAGTAGTGTAGTGTGTAGTAGTCTATAGTGGAGTGTATAGTAGTGTAGTGTATAGCAGTGTAGTGTGTAGTAGTGTAGTGTATAGTAGTGTATAGTAGTGTAGTGTGTAGTAGTCTATAGTGTAGTGTATAGTAGTGAATCGTGCAGTGTATAGTAGTGTAGTGTATAGTAGTGTAGTGTATAGTAGTCTATAGTGGAGTGTATAGTAGTGTAGCAGTGTAGTGTATAGTGGAGTGTATAGTAGTGTAGTGTGTAGTAGTCTATAGTGGAGTGTATAATAGTGTAGTGTATAGTAGTCTATAGTGTAGTGTATAGTAGTGTAGTGTGTAGTAGTCTATAGTGTAGTGTATAGTAGTGAATCATGCAGTGTATAGTGTAGTGTATAGTAGTCTATACTGTAGTGTATAGTAGTGTAGTGTATAGTAGTGTATAGTGTAGTGTATAGTAGTGTAGTGTGTAGTAGTCTATAGTGTAGTGTATAGTAGTGTAGTGTATAATAGTGTAGTGTATAGTAGTCTATAGTGTAGTGTATAGTAGTGTAGTGTGTAGTAGTGTATAGTAGTGTAGTGTATAGTAGTGTAGTGTGTAGTAGTGTAGTGTATAGTAGTGTAGTATATAGTAGTGTAGTGTATAGTAGTGTAGTAGTGTAGTGTATAGTAGTGTAGTGTATAGTGTGTAGTAGTCTATAGTGGAGTGTATAGTAGTGTAGTGTATAGTAGTGTAGTGTATAGTAGTGTAGTGTATAGTAGTGTAGTGTGTAGTAGTGTATAGTAGTGTAGTGTATAGTAGTGTAGCGTATAGTAGTGTAGTGTATAGTAGTGTAGTGTGTAGTAGTGTAGTGTATAGTAGTGTATAGTGTGTAGTAGTCTATAGTGTAGTGTATAGTAGTGTAGTGTATAGTAGTGTATAGTAGTGTAGTGCAGGGGTCGGGAACCTTTTTGACTAAGAGAGCCATGAAAGCAAAAAATTTGGAAATTTATTTCAGTGAGAGCCATATAATATATTTTAAAAGTGAATTCAACTAAATGTCAGTATAATAAGCCTCTGAATTTATTCTTTTAAATAATGTTGTTATAACACTCACCATTAATGCGACTTCTGGTGCTGCATGGATTTGCTGATGTCTTTGTAGTCGGGTTGGTACTTGGTGAGGTTAAGCTTCATGCAAGCGTTGAGGCTTTCATCCGTTAAACGTGATCGTAGGTTGGACTTGATGTTTTTAAGATGTGAGAATGACTGCTCACATGCATACGTAGATCCAAACATGGTCAATACAGCAATACTCACACGCTGCAGTGTGTGGTATGTGACAGGAAGCGCGTTCCAAGTTTTGAGAATCAGCTGGTCTTCGGGTTGGAGTTTTTTCATTTCTGTCCACATGTGCTTGCTCGCCAACTCCGCTTTCTGTCGTGTGATTCTTTCCAAATCTTCATTCAGTGACTTGAACTTATTCACCCACATGTCTGAGGCCTTCAGGTCAGCCACTTCTGCTTCAAAATCTCTGACGGAGACACCAGGGATGTAATTCAGGTCGGCTGTGTTCAGTGAACACTCGTTTGGATGGGTGATGAACTTAAAAAGACGAGTGTGCTCACGAAATTCTCCAAAGCGTGCTTTGAAGGACTGTAGGAGACTGGATGTGCAGCCAGCTAGCTGGTGGAGATCAAGGTTTTGAATGGGCTCACTTGCTGTGCATGCATCTTTAAATTGGCTCAGTTTTTCAAAATGTAGTAAACGACCTGTTTCAAGATCCGTGATGAAAAGCTCCAGCTTGTTTTCAAAAGCAAATACAGCTTGTTGAAGGGATAACACTGTATTTCCAATGCCTTGCATTTTCACGTTGAGCTGGTTCAGATGTTCAGTCAGATCTACGAGATAGTAAAACTTGAGGAGCCACTCGGTGTCGGCTAGCTCGGGATGCCCGACGCCTTTCATTTCAAGGAAAGTCCGGATTTCGTTCAGGCAAGCCGCAAAACGGCTAAGCACCTTCCCTCTTGACAACCAACGCACATTGCTATGCAAAAGCAGACCAGGATAGTTATTTACAACTTCATCCAGCAGTGTTTTAAACTGGCGATCATTTAAGGCTCGGGCAACAATAAAGTTGATCACACGAATGACCAGCGACATCACTTCGCCAAACTGCCTGTCACACATCTGAGCACAAAGTGCCTCCTGGTGTATAATGCAATGGAAACTTAGGATGGGTCTATTTTCATCTTCACGGAGAAGCGCCACAAATGCTTTGTTTTTCCCCACCATACACGGAGCATTATTAGTACACACTGAGAGAAGTTTATCCATAGGTAGACTTTTTTCTTGAGCAAACTCCATGAAAGACTTGGATAAATCCTCACCTCTTGTGGACCCTTTTAATGGCAGAACAGCAAGACTTTCTTCGCGCAGTGTGTCACCAACAGCATATCTTGCAATCATGCTGAACTGCGACAAATGGCTCACGTCTGTTGACTCATCCAAAGCCAGAGAAAAGAACGGCGCTGCATTTATGTCCTTCACTTGCGTTTCCTCCACTTTGTTTGCCATCACGATGGTACGATCATGAACAGTTCTTGCCGACAGAGGCATGTCTTGTATCCGTTTGATTATCTTGTCTTTGTTCGGAAGATCATCAAAAAGTTCATTGGCTACATCCAGCATGAACGTTTTAGCATACTCGCCATCTGTGAATGGTTTTCCGTTCCTCACTATTGCTAAAGAACCAGCAAAGCTAGCCGAATTATAGTCACCTTGCCGGGTCCATACGCGGAGTTGCTGCTGGCTAGCTTGCACCCTGCTCAGCTCTTGGCACGCTTTCTTTCTGCTGTCTCCCGCAGGGTATTTTGATGCAAAGGTAGCGTGGCGCGTGTCGAAGTGCCGCTTTACATTCGACCGTTTCAACGATGTAATTTTGTCATTGCAAATTAGACACACCGCAGAACCCGCTCTCTCCACAAAGGCGAATTCTTCGGTCCATTCGTCCTGAAATGTACGATACTCGTCGTCTTTTTTTCTTTTCGCCATCTTCTTCGTCGAAGGGATAGCTTTGAGCTAATGACCGAGCAGACGCAGTCTCAGACTGATTCAAAAGGGGGCGTTTACCTGTTTTACCCAGCAACGGCAAACGTAGGCCAGTATCATCCAATTAAAATAATGGACAATTGCTCCTGCAGCCCTGAACAGGACATGCGCAGTGAAAAATCGATGGATGGATTAAAACAAGTGAGAATATTTTGTTTTATCTGCGAGCCATATGCAATCATCAAAAGAGCCACATCTGGCTCGCGAGCCATAGGTTCCCGACCCCTGGTGTAGTGTGTAGTAGTGTATAGTGTGTAGTAGTCTATAGTGTAGTGTGTAGTAGTGTATAGTGTGTAGTAGTCTATAGTGTAGTGTGTAGTAGTGAATCGTGCAGTGTAAAGTGGAGTGTGTGAAGGCTGCTGCCCTCCGGCTCCTCCCTCGGTGGAGGGTTGATCCCGGGGCTCAGCCGCTGCCTCCCGACCACCTCCATCCCTTGAGATTCGCTGCTCCCCATCTCCTGGTCCGGGTCAGGGCTGCCGCTCCCCGTCTCCCCCTCTCGTGCCTCCGGCTCCTCCCTGCGAGGCGTGGCTCGGGGCTGGCGCTCGGCCACCGGGAATTAATCCCTCGCCTCCACGCGTCCACTCCCACAGACGTTGACGGGAGACTCCCCCGCACCTCGTTCCCCGCTCTCGCTCACACGCAGTCACTGAAATCCGGCGTCGCCGCTCTCACGGCGCCGCGCACCGCACGTACGAGCGGGACGGCGGCGGGGGGTGTGGGTGGGGGGGGGGGAGGGTCAGGGGTCAAAGGGCAGTGACGTCACTAGCAGTAGAGTTACCACCGCAAGAGTGCAATGGAGATGGTTTAAAGGGCGACGGGGCGGGTGTTTGGGATTGGTTTTTGGAACGAGAATTCGCCGTGCACTGGGGGAATTAAAGAAATGGTTTTAATCGTCGTCCGGCTCCTCTGCGTGCTGAGCTTTACTGGCGACGGGATTCGCGCGCCAATCTCCGTGTCACGACGAGCGGACTCACGCCACCATGCGCTCTCCCCACACACGCAGAAACCACACGAGACTGTTATTGATCACTAACGGCTCATTCTCGGAGAGTCCGAGGCTAAATATTACGTAGTCCGGAGTCAATATCAGTAGAATAACGAATCGATTCCTGATGGTCTAAGACGCAATCCGTCCCGCCTATTTCGAATTACTCTTTTTAGGAATTCTCGCGCTGTTCGCTATCTCTCTCTCTCTCTCTTACTGTTTAACGAGTGTTAATTAAAGGTGAAAGCCCTTACAAGGAGTTCCGTCTCCGCGTGGTTCTACAATGCAACAGTAGTATAAGGACTCCTCTACTTACAAACTTTAAGAGATACGTACAGACCTGTTTTTTATTTTGTATTTCCCTTCTACGTGACTTTACCGAAAGAACCATGAATTCGTACAGACCTGTCACTATGTCCAGTTGCCTTTTTTTACCGAGAGTCGTACATCTGCAGAACATGACGAATCAGTTGCATCTACATCTCCAGAAGGTGAAGAACCAGTGGCATCTACATCTGCAGAACGTGAAGAACCAATAGCATCTACATCTGCAGAACGTGAAGAACCAGTGGCATCTACATCTGCAGAACGTGAAGAACCAGTGGCATCTACATCTGCAGAACGTGAAGAAATAGTTGCATCTACATCTGCAGAGCGTGAAGAACTAGATGCATCTACATCTGCAGAATGTGAAGAACCAGTGGCATCTACATCTGCAAAACATGAATAACCAGTGGCATCTACATCTGCAGAACGTGAAGAACCAGTGGCATCTACATCTGCAGAACGTGAAGAACCAGTGGCATCTACATCTGCAGAACGTGAAGAACCAGTGGCATGTACATCTGCAGAACGTGAAGAACCAGTGGCATCTACATCTGCAGAACGTGATGAACCAGTGGCATCTACATCTACAGAACGTGAAGAACCATTGCCATCTACATCTACAGAACGTGAAGAACCAGTGGCATCTACATCTGCAGAACGTGAAGAACCAGTATCATCTACATCTACAGAACGTGAAGAAATAGTTGCATCTACATCTGCAGAGCGTGAAGAACTAGATGCATCTACATCTGCAGAATGTGAAGAACCAGTGGCATCTACATCTGCAGAACGTGAAGAACTAGTTGCATCTACATCTGCAGAACGTGAAGAACTAGATGCATCTACATCTGCAGAATGTGAAGAACCAGTGGCATATACATCTGCAAAACATGAATAACCAGTGGCATCTACATCTGCAGAACGTGAAGAACCAGTGGCATCTACATCTGCAGAACGTGAAGAACCAGTGGCATCTACATCTGCAGAACGTGAAGAACCATTGGCATCTACATCAACAGAACGTGAAGAACCATTGGCATTTACATCTACAGTACATGAAGAACCAGTAGTATATAGTAGTGTAATGTGTAGTAGTGTGTAGTAGTATATAGTAGTGTAATGTGTAGTAGTGTGTAGTAGTATCCACTAGTGTATAGTGTAGTAGTGTGTAGTAAATAGTAGTGTATAGTGTAGTAGTGTGTAATAGTAAATAGTAGTGTATAGTGTAGTAGTGTGTAGTAATATACTAGTGTATAGTGTAGTAGTGTGTAGTAGTATATAGTAGTGTATAGTGTAGTAGTATATAGTAGTGTATAGTGTAGTAGTGTTTAGTAGTATATAGTAGAGTAATGTGTAGTAGTGTGTAGTAGTATATAGTAGTGTAATGTATAGTAGTGTGTAGTAGTATATAGCAGTGTATAGTGTAGTAGAGTCTAGTTGTCTATAGTAGTATAGTATAAAGTAGTATATAGTAGTATATAGTAGTGTAGAGTGTATAAGTGAGTACGTGGAACTAATCGCACTGTGTAACCCCCACACAGAGGAGGAGGAGGAGTCGATCAACTGGTGGAAGATTGGCGCCATTATAGCCGGAGGAGGTAAGCGATGACGTCACCACACTTCCACGTGACCGCTGGTGTTGTGACGCTGCTGTGTGACGGTCAAGGTTCGTGATGTTCGCGTACAGTGTTGCTTGGTACAGTAGGGTGCACACAGGTGGTGCATCGGCCAGTCGTCTCAGCCAGTCGACCCATGGCACCCCCGTTGAGTCTGTCCCGTGACCTCCTCCTGCCAGCGGGCGTTCGAGACTTTTCACGTGGCCTCAACGTGCACATAGCCTGGCACAGGCACAATGATGGAGTCACCGCCACTTAGTGGTGCATGGCGGTTGTTGTTGTTGATGCTGTGTGTTGCTGTATGCTGTGTGGGATGCTATGTGATGCCGTGCGTGATGGTGATGCTCTGTGTGATGCTCTTATGTGATGCTGTGTGATGCTGTGTGATGCTGGGTGTGATGCTGTGAGAGGCTGTCTGTGATGCTGTGAGTGATGCTGTGTTAGGATGTGTGTAATGCTGTGTATGTTGCTGGCTGTGTGTGGTGCTGTGTGTAATGCTGTGTGATGCTGTGTGAGATGCTGTGTGTGAGGCTGTTTGTGATACTGTGTGAGGCTGTTTGTGATGCTGTGTGATGCTGTGTGTGATGCTGTGTTAGGCTGTGTGGGAGGCTGTGTGATGCTGTGTGTGAGGCTGTTTGTGAGGCTGTGTGTGATGCTATGTTGGGCTGTGTGTGATGCTGTGTTATCCAGTGTGTGATGCTGTGTGTAATGCTGTGTGTGATGCTGTGTGATGCTGTGTGTGATGTTGTGTGTGATGCTGTTTGATGCTGTGTGTGATGCTGTGTGTGATGCTGTGTGGTGCTGGGTGTGATGCTATGTGTGATGCTGTGTGATCCAGTGTGTGATGCTTTGTATGATGCTGTGTGTGATGCTGTGTGATGCTGTGTGGTGCTGTTTGTGATGTTGTGTGTGATGCTGTGTGTGATGCTGTGTGTGATGCTGTGTGTGATGCTGTGTGATGCTGTGTGATGCTGTGTTATCCAGTGTGTGATGCTGTGTGTAATGCTGTGTGTGATGCTGTGTGATGCTGTGTGTGATGTTGTGTGTGATGCTGTTTGATGCTGTGTGTGATGCTGTGTGTGATGCTGTGTGGTGCTGGGTGTGATGCTATGTGTGATGCTGTGTGATCCAGTGTGTGATGCTTTGTATGATGCTGTGTGTGATGCTGTGTGATGCTGTGTGGTGCTGTTTGTGATGTTGTGTGTGATGCTGTGTGTGATGCTGTGTGTGATGCTGTGTGTGATGCTGTGTGATGCTGTGTGTGATGCTGTGTGATGCTGTGTGATGATGTGTTATCCAGTGTGTGATGCTGTGTGTGATGCTTTGTATGATGCTGTGTGTGATGCTGTGTGTGATGCTGTGTGTGATGCTGTATGATGCTGTGTGTGATGCTGCGTGATGCTGTGTGATGCTGTGTGTGATGCTGTGTGATGCTGTGTGATGCTGTGTGTGATGCTGTGTGTCATGCTGTGTGATGCTGTGTGTGATGCTGTGTGATGCTGCGTGATGCTGCGTGATGCTGTGTGTCATGCTGTGTGATGCTGTGTGTGATGCTGTGTGTGATGCTGTGTGATGCTGTATGATGCTGTGTGTGATGCTGTGTGTGACGGTGACGCTGCTGCGACGCCATGCATCCACGTGACCGTTTGTGTGACGGTGTTTTTGTTATCATTGTTGTTGTTGTTGTGGGCTCGCCTCCTCCCTCCTCACTGTTGTTATCATTCTTGTTGCCATGCTTGTTGTTGTTGTTGTGAGCCAGTCGGCACAGTTGCATTAGCCCCAGTGGCAATAGCAGCCGCGGGCTTCACCGCCGGAGGGATCGCCGCCGGCTCCATGGCCGCCTCGCTCATGTCCTCGGCCGCGGTTGCCAGCGGAGGAGGGGTGGTGGCCGGAGGGGTTGTGGCCACGCTGCAGTCCATAGGTACGGAGGCAGGGGCTCGGCTAGAGGGGCCTCTGGCCAGGGCTGTTGTTAGGGTGACAAGGGCTGTGATTTAGTAGCGAGTAGAGGAGACGCAGAGACAAAGGCACTCTTGATTAGCCTCTAGCAGGGCTATAGCGGCAAGTGCTGTTGTAGTCGCGAGTACTCCAAGTTAGCCTATAGCAGGGCTGTTAGGGGGCAAGTGCTGTGAGTAGTAGTGAGTAGAGGAGACACAGAGACAAATGTACTCCCGGGTAGCCTCTAACAAGACGTAGCCTTGCCTGCCAGCGGAGCTCACCGATGGAACTTTGTCCAGATATTTCAAGGTGTTGTGAGCTCCTCACGCAATCCAGCTTGATTAAACCTAGGATGGATCATAGGCAGGCCAGTCTGAATGTTTCTTACTGGCGAAGATGTTCCATTAGGGGTGGTGCACGTTTCACAAGTGAAGGGAAAGGAGGGCATGAATGTGGCCGAGAAGACCTGAAGCTTCGTGTGGAGCTGCAGACCAGGTAGCTTTCACCCAACATTTCGCAACCGATGAAAAGATAATGCCTCTCGACTAATTCGGAGTGAGACCTCTGCTGTCGAACTGGAGCCGGTCATGAGCACACTGCCCAGGTATGGGGCCTCTCCACTCTCTCCACAACTGCCCCATCACAAATTGGGAGGTGTGGGGGTGGAGTTTTTGATGGTATAAAATACCCAGGCAGGTGCTTAGTTTTGGTGGTGCTGATGGTAAGGCTCCACCTATAAGTGGCACACTCCAGGTATAGCAGCAGCGCATCAGTGAACTGCAATCACCAGATTATCGGCATACATAACATGGTTGCCCAATAGGGACCCATCCCTCGACCGCACCCATGTACCAGATGGAGATCCTGCAGTACAGCCATGGAAGGCTTCTCGAACTACGTGGTCAAAACGATGTTAAATAATGTGCACCCTGAGATGAACAAGAAATAGCTCTGACTCCCAGCTTTATCCGGGCCTGCCCACCATCATGAAGGTCTTTAATGATTGTGAGCAGAAAGTTACAGACTCCAAAAGCACGAAGAACAACCCAGAGCCCAGGCTTATTGATGGTATCATAGGCCTTGACCAGGTCAATAAAGTAGAAATGTTGGTCCTGTTGGAATTCCAGAAACCTCTGCTGTAGAAAACGGACAGAAAATATGGAATCTGTACAGGACCACCCTTACCCAAAACCACATTGGAGCTCTGCAAGCCTCTCAGCGTGCCTGGCAAGACGATGTTGAATAATCCTTGCCAGGACCTTTCTCGGTACACTGAGGAGGGAGATGCCCCTGTAGTTGTTACAGTCTGTGCGGACCCCCATCTTGAAGAAGGGGACCTCCAGGGCATCCTTCCAATCCTGTGGAAGCCATCCAGGGATGTCATGTAGGGCAGTCTGCACACAAACGCCACATTTCTTCACAATTTTGCTTGGGAGATCATCTGTTCGTAGCACTTTTTCTGGTTTTAGAGTCTGGATCGCCTTCTGTACTTCCTAAAAAGATGGCACCTCAGCTAGCCACTCACAGGGGGTGACTACTTTTACAATCTCTGAGGCACAGCAGGTTCATCCCCAATTTGCCCCATGATGTTTTTGGACTGAGGGATTTCTCCTCACACAGGATCTAACATGAATGTTCAGCAAACCAGCCAACCCGTTCCTGGTTGTCAGAGATAGGATCACAGTTAATTTTCTTAAGGACAGTGATAGGTGTGGTACCACAAGTTACTTTTTGATGGAGTTAAAGAGTAATTTGTGATCACAGGCTACTGAGGCAGAGTTCATCTCCTCAGCAACCCACGATCACCACTCATCCTTGCAGCGTCGCACGGCTGTCCAAACCTCGGAGTGAAGGCTGCGGTAAGCCTCCTCATTCTCCGACGTGGGATGCTGTAGACAGTGGGCGTGGGCCTTTTGCTCTTTCTCAGCCAGCTGGAACACCTCCTCCATCAGCCAGGGTCTCTGGGGAGGTCTGGACCATGTACCCTAAGCAGCCATTGCAGCTGCATGAACCACAGTCCTAACCCTCACCCATTTCCCCTCGGCATCAGGAGGAGGGGGGGGGGGGACAATGCAAATCCCGCTGCGTGCGATGACGAATTTCTCGCTTCTAACTTTCATCAGATAACTGAGACCAGGTCACTGTGGGTTTGAATGGGGTCATAGATGTACACCCACCACCAGAGTGGAAGAATGGCAGGCGCATCTTACAGATGACAACACGAAGGTCAGTGGGGAGATCAGCTCCACGGTAGGTCCTGGAGTCAAGGATATGGGCCCGCATCCACTGTTCCATCATTATACAGTCCAGTAGATGTTCTTGCTTGCATCCGGCATGCATCCATGATGTTACGTGGATGCGCCGATGCCGGAGGAGCGTGTTTGTGGTTACGAGCCCATGGACTGTACACAAGTCTAGCAGCCGTTGTTATTGAGCTGATTTAGCCATTCACTCCAGCCCAGGTGCTACTTGGGCATTAAAGTCACCCAACAGGACGGCTCTAGCCCGAGTTACCACTTTAGCTAGCATCTGTGACAGGAGGTCATAGAAGGCATCTGAATCATCAGCCGTGCCTGCATCCCTCCACTGATGCTCATCTTCGGTGGGGGTATAAGCAACAATCACCACCATTCCTCACCTCTTCTTGTTGGGAAGGCGAGCCCACAGTAGCCTGGAGATTACAGCTTTCCACACCTCACTGCCATGCTCCTACACCCCCTCAAGGTGACTGGAGCCAGAGGCAGTACACTGGACTTCCTGAATGCCATACAGATCCAGGCAGTGCCTATCCAGCTCCTGACAGAGGAGTGGCAGCCTCTCCTTCGGAGTGAGCATTCAAACATTCCACGTGGCCACCCACAGTGGTTTTTTTATCGTTTCTGGAGGAACCCCGAAGGTGCCGGGATCAGTCTCCTGGCTCCACCCAATGGGGTTTGGCCACGAGACGTCATAGACAACAATCCCCCCCGAGGCCTCTGACACAAGCCTGGTGCTTGAATTGAAGGTGGATGGGTTACCAGCCCCTCGCACCCGTCCCGAGTTCCCATTGGCTGCTGTGGTGGCTACAAGCGTCATGAGGGGGTGGAGCCAAATATATAATTGTCCGTTCCCCCCATGGCGTTGCTCACCCCAGCGTTGCCGTCCGGCACAGAGGAGGAAGTGGATTGTTTTGCCGGACTACTCACACACTCAGAGACGCAGACAAAGGTCCCCAAGGTAGCCTCTAGCAGGGCTGTAAGGGGGCAAGCGCTGTCAGTAGCCACGACTAGAGTAGACACAGAGGCAAAGATCTCCCGGGTAGCCGCTAGTTGTGCTGTAGAGACAAGGTCTGGCTAATGTACACACACTCAGAGACACAGAGACAAAGGTCCCCCAGGTAGCCTCTAGTCGTGCTGTAGAGACAAGGTCTGGCTAATGTACACACACTCAGAGACACAGAGATAAAGGTCCCCCAGGTAGCCTTTAGTCATGCTGTAGAGAGAAGGTCTGGCTAATGTACACACACTCAGAGACACAGAGACAAAGGTCGCCCAGGTAGCCTCTAGTCGTGCTGGAGAGACAAGGTCTGGCTAATGTACACACACTCAGAGACACAGAGACAAAGGTCGCCCAGGTAGCCTCTAGTCGTGCTGTAGAGACAAGGTCTGGCTAATGTACACACACTCAGAGACACAGAGACAAAGGTCCCCCAGGTAGCCTCTAGTCGTGCTGGAGAGACAAGGTCTGGCTAATGTACACACACTCAGAGACACAGAGACAAAGGTCCCCCAGGTAGCCTCTAGTCGTGCTGTAGAGACAAGGTCTGGCTAATGTACACACACTCAGAGACACAGAGACAAAGGTCCCCCAGGTAGCCTCTAGTCGTGCTGTAGAGACAAGGTCTGGCTAATGTACACACACTCAGAGACACAGAGACAAAGGTCGCCCAGGTAGCCTCTAGTCGTGCTGTAGAGACAAGGTCTGGCTAATGTACACACACTCAGAGACACAGAGACAAAGGTCCCCCAGGTAGCCTCTAGTCGTGCTGTAGAGACAAGGTCTGGCTAATGTACACACATTCAGAGACACAGAGACAAAGGTCCCCCAGGTAGCCTCTAGTCGTGCTGTAGAGACAAGGTCTGGCTAATGTACACACACTCAGAGACACAGAGACAAAGGTCCCCCAGGTAGCCTCTGGATTGCCGCAGTGGCGAGATGTTAACCACCCCTTCCCTCCCCCTCTCCCCTCTCCGCTCGTCTCCCTTCCTCCCCTCATCCTCCCCCCTCCAACCTCTACCCCCCTCCCCCCCCCGTCTCTCTCCCACCCTGCCCCCTCCCCCCCCCCCTCTCTCTTTCCCCTGCCCCTCCCCTCTCCCTGCCCCTCCCCTCTCCCTGCCCCATGTAGGAGCGGCTGGGCTGGGAACTGCAGCTATGGCTACCGTGGGGACAGCCGGGGCAGCCATCACCAAGGTCGCGGTGGACGTCATAGACGGGAGTATAAAGAACGAGGAGGAGGAGGAGGAGTAGGGCAGCGAGATGGTGGGGGGAGGGGGGGGGTAGTGTTGAGAGGGCAGCGTGTGCGCTCAGCGTGGCTGGCTAAGCAGTGCGAAGATTCACAAACCTCTCGCTGGCACGGTCGGCTACGGTGGGGTAGCAGCTCCTCTGCCTCATCCTGCCTCTAATCCTCTTCTTCCTCTTCTTCCTCTCCTGCCTCTCCCCGATTTAGTCGGTCTAGTTGGTCTAGACAGTCTACTTGGTCTAGACGGACTAGTCGGTCTAAGACGGTCTAGTTGGTCTAGATGGTCTAGTTGGTCTAAGACAGTGTAGACAGTCTAGATGGTGTAGACCGTTTCATTGGTCTAGACGGTCTAGTCGGTCTAAGACAGTGTAGACAGTCTCGATGGTGTAGACTGTTTCATTGGTCTAGACGGTGTAGATGGTCTAGATGGTCTAGTCGGTCTAAGACAGTGTAGGCAGTCTAGATCGTGTAGACTGTTTCATTGGTCTAGACGGTCTAGTTGGTCTAGACAGTCTACTTGGTTGAGACGGTCTAGTCGGTCTAAGACAGTGTAGACAGTCTAGATGGTGTAGACTGTTTCATTGGTCTAGACGGTGTAGATGGTCTAGATGGTCTCGTCAGTGAAGAGGGTCTAGTCGGTGAAAATTGTCTAGGTGGTCTAAACGGTGTTGGTGCTGAGTGCTACTTAAAATCAAATGTTTTCGTTCCGGATGACCGCTGCAACGTATGATTTTGTGTTTTGATTTAGTGTGCTGATCTTTAAAGGTGCATTTTTAAAAAAGTTGATACTCCTACTGATTCTGCTGCTATTGTGGAGTCACTCATGCAGCCAGCTATGGCTACAGGGTTTGGTGATACATGTTGTTTATGTCATTTATTGTGAAATTTCGGTCACAGTCCCTATGATCACTGTTACATTGCTTCTGGCTTTATTTTGGTGATTTCGAAAAGTTTTTTGATTTGGCCATGTTTGTTTGTTGTAGTACGGAGTTAGAATGATGGCTTTAATCTAAGTTATCTTGTGGATGTTGTTGTTGTTTGACTTGCATCCCACTGGGATTTTTGCACACAGCGTTGGTGTACGGTGCTTTTTTTCTGGAAGACTTTGCAGTTTTTTCCTGGATTTTTCTGTTTGCGCGTAGTCACTTTAAGATGTTTTCTTGTTCATGTTTTTTCTTTTTTGTTTGTTGCGGTTGCACCCGATTCAAGAGCCGAATGGCTCACAGGGCTATACCTAATCAATGAAACTGAAACTGCAACTGTAGTTTGGAAGTTTGGTTCATTATCATCGTGATCTTGGGGCCCGGCTGAGTAAGAAAATATGTGTTCACTTTACTCAGTTACTCTCTAATTAAAATGTATCCACAACAACGACTTCACCTGTGTGTGTGTGTGTGAATAAATGTGAGTGTGTGTGAGTATGCGTGAGCTTGTATCTACCTGTGCGTGTACCTGTATTTGTGCGTGAATGGGTGAGTGTGATTGAGGGATGACTCTCTCTTGCTCAACCACGTTACGTCTGCCGAAAATCTGGTGATTGTTGCTCACTCGGAGGAGGCATTGGAGGTGCTGCTGCTGAACCTGGAGCTTGCCACTAAGAGGTGGAACCTTACCATCAGCCCCACCAAAACTAAGCACCTGCCTGGTTATTTTGTACTATCAGACACTCCAAACCGAAAAGTCCCAATTGGAGATGGGGCAGTTGTGGAGATAGTGGAGAGTTTCTCATACCTAGGCAGTGAGCTCCTGACCGGCTCCGGTTTTACAGCAGAGGTTTCACTCCTAATCAGCTGAGCGGCAATATCTTTTCATCGGTTGCATAACATTGTATTAAAGCTACCTGGTCTGTCACTCCACACGAAGCTTCAGGTCTTTTTGGCTCCGGTCATGCCCTCCCTTTGTCTACGTTTGCGAAACGTGGATGCCCCTAATGGAAAATCTTCGCTGGTGAGAAAGGTTTAAGCTGGTCTGCCTATGATCTATACTGGATTTAACCAGGCTGGATTGTGTGAGGAGCTCACACATCCTTGAAAGACCTGGACAAAGTCCTATCGTTGTCTGGGTCATTTGGCCCGCATATCCAGCCACCACATGCCGGAAGAAGGGGGCTAAATGGGCGTGGCATGGGCTAGAGAAGAGATGGAGTGATGTGGTACAAGAGGACGTGGAGCTGAGTGGACTTGCCGATGACTGATACCAGCGGTGTCAAGGTCGGTATCTGTGGAGGAGCCTCGTGAAGGACGCTATTGGGCAGTTGGAGGCAGTCGCCCTCCAACAACAACGGAGGGCGGAGGAGCGACGCTCACAACAACGAACGGAATGCCGGGCGGATAATGCACAATAAGTTGGCAGAGTAGGGGGCACAGGTGGTGCATCAGCCACTCATCTCAGTCGACCGATGGAATCTGGGTCTGCCCCGTGACCTCCTGGCAGCAGGCGTTTGACACTTTTCGTGGCCTTAACACGCACATAGCCTGGCACAAGCGTTTTGGTGACGTCACCACCACTTAGTGGCGAATGGTGGTTGTTGTTGTCTGTGTGGATGTAGGTGTGTGTGTCTGTGTGTGTGTGTGGATGTGGCCCATGGGCTTGTAATTACCAACATGCTGTTCCGGCATTGGCGCATCCACATAACATCATGGATGCATGCCGGGTCCAAGCAAGAACATCTGCTGGACTACATAGTGACGGACCAGCGGATGCGAGCCCATGTCCTTGACACCAGGACCTACCGTGGAGCTGATCTGCCCTCTGACCATCGACTTGTGATCTGTAAGATGCGCCTGCCATTCTTCCACTCCGGTGGTGGGTGTACACCCAGGACCCCATTCCAACCTAAAGTGGCCTGGTCTCAGTTATCTTATGAAAGTTGCAAGCGAGAATTTCATCATCGCTTGTGGCTGGGATTGGCATCGTCCCCGACTCCTACTGAGGTTGAGGGTAAATGGGCGAGGTTTAGGACTGTGACTCATGCAGCTGCAATGGCTGCTTTGGGTACGCGGTCCAGACCTCCCCAGAGACCCTGGCTGACAGAGGAGTTGTTCAGGATGGTTGAGAAAAAGCGACAGGCCCACTGTCATTGGCTACAGCACCCCCACGTCAGAGAATGAGGAGGCTTACCGAAGCCTTCGCTGGGAGGTTCGGAGAGCCGTGATGCGCTGCAAGGATGGGTGGTAGTTGCGGGTTGCTGAGGAGATGGTGTCTGCCTCAATAGACTGCGATCACAAATCCCTATTTAACTCCATCAAAAAGTAACCTGCAGCTCCACACCTATTACCATCATTAGGGGAAAAAACGGTGATCCAATCTACAACCCCCAGGAACAGGTTTGCAGATTGCTGAGCATTTCTGTGAGGTCCTGGGGAATAGGAAATCCCTCAGCCTGGAAACATCGTGGCACAAAGTGGGGATGACCCTGCTGAGGCTGCGGTGCCTCAAATATTGGAGGAAGTACTGAAGGCGATCCAGAGTCTGAGACCAGAAAAGGCACCGGGCAGAGATGATCGCCCAAGCGAAATGCCGAGGAAGGGTGGCGTTTGTACGCAGACTGCCCTACATGACATCATAACAACAGTTTGGGCCACTGGACGGGTTCCGCAAGATTTGAAGGATGCCCTGGTGGTCCCTGTCTTTAGGAAGGGGGACCGCACAGACTGTAACAACTACAGGGGCATCTCACTCCTCAGTGTGATGGGAAATTTTCTGGCAAGGATGATTCAACATCGTCTTGCTAGGCACGCTGAGGAAAGGCTTGTGGAGCCCCAATCAGCAGGCCTGGGCTCTGGGTTGTTCTTCGTGCTTTCAGAGTCCCTGACCCTCTGCTCACGCTCATTAAGGACCTTTATGATGGTGAACAAGCCCGGGTAAAACTAAGTGGCGGGGAGTCAAAGCGACAGGGATGTCCTCTTGCTACAACATTATTTAACATCTATTTCGACCATGTAGTTCGTGAAGCCTTCAGTAGCTGTGCCGGAGGAATTTACATCTGGTACAGATACAATGGGAGGCTGATCAATGCCCGGGAGTGGTCAAGGGATGGCTCCCTATTGGTCAACCACGTTATGTATGCCGACGACCTGGTAATTGCAGCTCACTCAGAGGAGGAGTAGGAGGCGCTGCTGCTGAAACTGGAGTGTGCCACTAATAGGTGGGGCCTTACCATCAGCCCCACCAAAACTAAGCACCTGTCTGGGTATCTGGTACCATCGGACACTCCACCCCCACAACTACCAATCGGTGATGGGGCAGTTGTGGAGAGAGTGGAGAGTTTCCCATACCTGGGCAGTGTGCTCATTACCGGCTCCGATTTAACAACAAAGGTCTCACTCCGAATCAGTCAAGCGGCAATATCTTTTCATCGGTTGCGTAGCCCTGTGTGGAAGCTTCCTGGTCTGTCGCTCCGCACGAAGCTTCGGGTCTTCTCGGCCACAGTCATTCCCTCCCTTCTCTATGCTTGTGAAACGTGGACCGCCCTAATGGAATATCTTCGCCGGTTAGAAACATTTAGGCTGGCCTGCCTACGATCAATCCTGGGTTTAACCAGGCTGGATTGTGTGAGGAGTTCACAAATCCTCGAAAGATCTGAACAAAGTCCCATCGGTGAGCACCTCCGGCAGGCAAGGCTGCATTGGCTGGGCCATGTAGCCCGCATCCCCAATCACTGCATGCCCAAACAGCTTTTGTTCGGCCGGATCGAGGGGGCTAAATGGGCGCAGCACCGGCTATAGAAGAGATGGAGTGATGTGGTACAGGAGGATGTGGAGCTGAGTGGTTTTGCCGATGACTGGTACCAGCGGTGTCAATATCGGCCTTTGTGGAGGAGGCTCGTGAAGGACGCTACTGGGAAGTTGGAGGCAGTCGCCCTCCAACAACAACGGAGGGCGGAGGAGCGATGCTCACAACAACGAGCGAAGGGCCAGGTGGCTAAAGCACAGCAAGTTGGTACAATAGAGGGCACAGGTGGTGCATCAGCCACTCATCTCAGTCAGTCGACCCGTGGCACCTGGGTCTGCCCCGTGACCTCCTGCCAGCGGGCGTTCGACACTCCACGTGGCCTCAAGATGCACATGTCCTGGCACAAGCGTCGTGGTGACGTCACCGCCACTTAGTTGCGAATGGCGGTTGTTGTTGTTGTATGTGTGTATGTGTGTGTGTACGTGTGGATGTACGTGTGTGCGTGTATGTGTGCATGTATGTGTGTGTACGTGTTGGTGCACGTGTGTGTGTGTGTGTGTCCATGTTTGTGTGGTGCTTTGGGTACGCGTTTCAAACCTCCCAAGAGACCCTGGCTGACAGAGGAGGTGTTCAGGATGATTGAGAAAAAGCGACAGGCCCACTGTCATCGGCTACAGAATCCCACGTCAAAGAATGAGGAGGCTTACCGCAGCCTTCGCTCGGAGGTTCGGAGAGCCGTGAGGCACTGCAAAAATGGGTGGTGGTCGCGGGTTGCTGAGGAGATGGAGTCTGCCTCAGTGGCCCGTGATCACAAATCTCTATTTAACTCCATCAAAAAAGTAACCTGCAGCGCCACACCTATTACCATCATTAGGGGAAAAAACGGTGACACAATCTCCGACCCCCAGGAACAGGTTTGCAGATTTGCTTAGCATTTCTGTGAGGTCCTGGGGGAGGGAAAATCCCTCAGCCAGGAAAACATCGTGGCACAAAGTGAGGATGACCCTGCTGAGGCTGCGGTGCCTCAAATATTGGAAGTGGCTGGCTGAGGTGCCATCTGTTAAGGAAGTACTGAAGGCGATCCCGAGTCTGAGACCAGGAAAGGCAGCGGGCAGAGATGATCTCCCAAGCGAAATGCTGAGGGAGGGCGGCGTTTGTGCACAGACTGCCCTATATGACATCATAACAACAGTCTGGACCACTGGACGGGTTCTGCAGGATTGGAAGGATGCCCTGGTGGTCCCCCTTTTAAAGAAGGGGGACTGCACAG